GCAATGAACGTTATTTAACTCTTCAAGCAACAATCTTCACAATAAGATTGGTAATGCTCAATCCCACACAGTATTAGAAATACTATTAGGAATGGTATTTAAGGCTTGGATTTTGCACTTCCTTGTTGAGTAAAAGAGAACAAGGGAGACTCTCGCGCGCCGCCGCCGCCGCCGTCTCGTATCGGGTCATGGTCGTGGTCGTGGTTGTGGTAATACGTGTCTTCGACACATCCGCGCGAATACTATCTTTTTAGAGAAAATTCTTAAGAAACAAAATCTTTTTTTTTAACTATCGCAACGAATTTGGAAAATCGCAACGACAACTGTAGACTATCGCAATGCGATTTTCAACTATCGCAACGCGATTTTCAACTATCGCAACGCGAAATGCAATGCGAATTTGCGATACTGGAGATCGCAATGCGAATTAGATATCGCATTGCGATTTTGTTGTCATTTTCGCAAATCCAAAAAAAATTGGTCAAAATCGTATATTATCTGGGATTTTTTGTCACAGAGGTTATTTTCTCTTTTTTAAAAATTATAATAAGTATTATTTAACTGAATTTGCGAAAATGACTAACAAAATCGCAATGCGATCTCTAATTCGCATTGCGATCTCCACTATCGCAAATTCGCGTTGCATTTCGCGTTGCGATAATTGAAAATCGCGTTGCGATAGTTGAAAATCGCGTTGCGATTTTCCAGTTCGCGTTGCGATAGTTGAAAATCGCGTTGCGATTTTTCATTTCGTGTTGCGATTTTTCAGTTCGCGTTGCGATAGTCTACAGTTATCATTGCGATTTTCCAAATTCGTTACGATAGTCTACAGTTGTCGTTGCGATTTTCCAAATTCGTTGCGAAAATCGCGTTGCGATTTTTCATTTCGCGTTGTGATAGTTGAAAATCGCGTTGCGATAGTCTACAGTTGTCGTTGCGATTTTCCAAATTTGTTGCGAAAATTCGTTGTGATAGTTAAAAAAAAAGATTTTGTTTCTTAAGAATTTTCTCTAAAAAGATAATATCTGCGCGGACGTGCCGAAGACACGTATTACCACGACCACGACCACGACACGACACGACCCGACCCGACTCGAGACGAGACGGACGGCGACGGCGGCGCGCGAGAGTCCCCCTTGTTCTCTATCACTCAACAAGGAAGTAGGAAAGCCAAGCCTTAAATACCATTCTCAATAGTGTTTCCAATACTATGTGGGATTGAGCATTACCAACACTTGTTTCCAATACAATGTGATTATTCAGGAAACAATTAACAATCATGCACCTTAAAACAACTGAATCAGCAACCAATTGCATTAGTATTATACGATTAAATATGTCATAATTAAAAGTCAATCTACAATCAATCGCGATTATTGCAATTTTAAGCAAAACATTCAAAAACAATATCATTATTTAAGGCTCAATCCCACATAGTATTGGGAACAAGTGTTGGTAATGCTCAAATCCCACATAGTATTGGAAACACTATTGGGAATAGTATTTAAGGCTTGGCTTTCCCACTTCCTTGTTGAGTGATAGAGAACAAGAGGGACTCTCGCGCGCCGCCGCCGCCGTCCGTCTCGGGTCGTGGTCGTGGTCGTGGTCGTGGTCGTGGTAATACGTGTCTTCGACACATCCGCGCGGATACTATCTTTTTAGAGAAAATTCTTAAGAAAAAAAATCTTTTTTTAACTATCGCAACGAATTTGGAAAATCGCAACGACATTGTAGACTATCGCAACGCGAAATGAAAAATCGCAACGCGAAATGCAACGCGAATTTGCGATAGTGGAGATCGCAATGCGATTTTGTTGGTCATTTTCGCAAATCCAAAAAAAGTTGGTCAAAATCGTATATTATCTGGGATTTTTGGTTACTGAGGTTATTTTCTCTAAATAATATTCATTCTGCTCTGGATTTTAGACCCATATCCTGATGCTCTGTATTTTATAAGACTGTCACTATGATACTGGTGAGTAGATTGGTTGGATACCTTCCTGAGATGATTACTCCTAACCAGTCAACCTTTGTGAGGGGGAGAAACATTGAAAGCAATACTCTCTTGGCTCGAGAGCTTGTCAGAGGGTATGGAAGAAGTTATATTCCCCCTAGATGTGCTATTAAAGTTGATTTGCAGAAAGGCTTTGATACTTTAAGTTGGAAGTTTCTACTTGTTATCTTGAAGGGGTTAGGGCTGCCAACTCAGTTTAGGGGTTGGATTGAGGCTTATGTTATGGACTCCAGATTCTCCATTGTTCTGAATGGTAGCCTTGTGGGATATTTTAGAAGGAGAAGAGGGGTTAGGCAGGGGGACCCTTTATCCCCTTACTTATTTCTCATTACTATAAACATCCTGTCCAAACTGCTTGATGTTACTGCCTCAGAAAAAAAATTTCAGTTTCATCCTAAGTGCAAAAGAGTGAATCTAACTCACTTGTGCTTTGCTGATGATTTGCTTATTTTTTACAAAGGTAGATTGGATTCAATTGTTGGGGTTAAATGTGTTTTGGATAAGTTTTATGTGATGTTTGGGCTAAGGCTTAATGCCTCTAAGACTGAAATATACATTACTGGTATAAATGAAAGGCAGAGGACTTTGATTCAATAGACTACTGGATTTACTATTGGCTGTCTCCCAGTGAGATACCTAAGGGTACCTCTTGTCCCCAGGAAACTGACTGAGAAAGACTGTGCTAGCTTAGTGGAGAAAATCAAAGCTAAGTTGGGACATTAGTCCAACAAATGGCTGAGTTATGCTAGTAGGTTACAACTGGTGAAGGTTGTTCTATTTAGCATAACTAATTTCTGGTGCAGACAACTTATTTTACCTGCTGCTGTTGTAAGGAGGGTTGACCAACTTTGTGCCATGTTCTTTTAGAATAGAGGTGATATCCCAGCTAAAGGTGCTCGTGTGAGCTGGGATTTGATTTGTTCCCCTAAGTCTGAGGGGTGGTTAGGCCTTAAACATCTAAAATGCTGGAATAAAGCATGTACTATGCTTCTGGTAAAGGAGTTACTCTTTGTTGAGGGTTCTCTGTGGGTAGTTTGGGTGAGGTCTTATGTCCTTAAAGGGGCTGATTTCTAGTCCATTGAAAGTAAAGCTTCATTCAGCTGGAGTATGAGGAAAATTATGAAAACAAGGGAAGATTTGCAACCTTTGTTCTCAGGGACAACAGACTGGGACAAAGTGAATGCTCGTTGGATTTGGCAGGAGATTAGGGAGAGAAGAGTGAAAGTTGAATGGCACAGGATAGTCTGGTTTCCTATGCACATACCGAAGCACTCCCTTATTACCTGGATGACTATACTTGATAGGCTGCCAACTGCTAATAGGTTGGCTCGCATGAGGATTGAGGTGGATGACAAGCGCAGACTATGTGAAGCTGTGCCTGAGACTCGCATCCATTTGTTCTTTGAATGTTTGTTTTCGAAGGCTGTGTGGGAGGGGATTGTATGACTGTGCAATGTTAACAGGGCTGTAGGGACCTAGGCTGTAGGGACCTAGGATGAGGAGTTGAATTGGGCTGTTAATAGGTTCAAAGGTAAAACTTTCCCTGTGTTTATACTTAGAATTGCTTGGTATGCTTATGTTTACTGTATATGGATGGAGAGGAAGTATAGACAGTTTAGAGGAGTGAGTAGGGATATAGATAATGTGGTAAATTGTATTAAAGAAGTAGTGAGGGTGAAAGCAGCGAGAATTGTGATTAAAAGTAGTATAGTTAATTGTAGACTTTTCCAGACTTGGGGATTACCTTCTCCTAGAAGGCTAATTCTGTTTGTTTTGGGTGGTCTGTAATTGTTGTAGCAGTGATTTTTGTCTACTGCTTCTTGGATAATAATATGAGGAATTTATCTAAAAAATAATATTCCTCCTGTCTCATAAAAACCTTCAATATGTAAAATATAATTACTTTATAAACCTTCAATCAAGTAATTTTCAAATATATATTTTATAAAATTTAATTATTTAAAAATATTATGATTAAAGTTTAAAAAGTTTGATTTTAAAAAATCAATAAGAGAATTTTTTTATGGACAGAGAGAGTATAATTTATTTGTTGAAAAGTCAATAAAAGACATTTTTATTTTATAAAAATTAAAAAGTTTATGAAACTCGATATTATTTGTTGAAACTATTTAATAAATTTAAATTTATATGATTAATAATGAATTATATATTGTGGAAGACAGAGAATTATGTGTGAAGGTTTAAATATGTCAAATCCCATACATTAGTTTAAATTTTAATCTTTTTATTTTAATCTTTTGGTATGGAATTTATGTACTGTTTATTTATTTATTTAAAGAATTTGTCTCTTCCACCGACTAATGTTAATTTTATTATTAATTATTGAGCTAACAAAAATAAAAAGGTAAATATCTGTAAATATCTTTTTCACTTATGATTATTCTTCAATTACTTTTATAAATATAATTTATTAGATAAAATATTTTATTTCAATAAAATGGAATAATTTTGAGAATTAAACCGCAGGGTACAAAGTATTGGTGCAAAGAGAAAATAAAATAAAAGGTAAAGACAATTTGTTACTTGCAAACTTGAGTTTTTATGATCTGAAATATCATTTTAAAAAATAAAAAAGATATTATACCAAGAGACAGATGCGAGGATCTCTATAAAAATTTTATATTATCAAATATTATTTTATATCTGTTAGTAATCTGCTTTGGTTTCATAGGCCTGATGATATTGGGCTGCACAATAATGAGTTGGTTATGCCAAGTCCAAATTCAAACATATTGAAGTCGTAAATGAATGAAATCCCTACTTGATAACTTCATTCATCTTAACTCCTTGAATACTTGATGTTTATCTTCTTTGTTCTACCTACTTTTCTGTATGATAATCAAGAAAGAAGCTACATCAAACTAAAAGAAGCAACATGAAGCTGGAAGAAATAAAGGGAATGCACAAGTATTGATTCGACATCCACTTTTGATTTTTGTTTCCCTGTCTTTGGGTTACCATTCACTTTGCAATCAAAACCATTCACCACGCAGTTCTCTCAGTCTACGAGAATGTGGAAGCTCGGGAATCCCACGCATCGCATTCTCCTTCCAAATCTCCGATGCCCTCAAAAGCGTCTCTTCAGCCGTCAGAAGCTGCTCCGGCTTCCACCCGATCACATCTCCCCCACTCTGTTTCGTCTCCGTGGCAGTCCCATCGGTGGCTCTCGTGATGGGTTTCCTCGTATCCGCCACCTCAATCTCCGACAAAGGAGACGCCTTGTGGTCCTTGAAGTACTCCTTGTCATCCTTCGTTTGCTCTCTCTTTTCCCCTTGCTCCCTTTCTTTGCTCTCCGGCAAGGGCGTACCGTCGATACCTACACAGCTCACTTCTTCTATGGCTGCAGCACTGACATTGGTACGCCTTTGTTGAACGTTGGGTTCCACGGGATGGTTCACCGGTGAACTCTTGAGCCTCGGAGAACTTTCATGTGGCAGCTTGGGTTGTTTTAGCGGATCCGTTTCGTAACCAGGTTTGGCCTCTTTCTGTGACCGGAAGTCATTAAAGTTATGGTCATCATCTGGATGGTTTTCTATGCCCTGCAACGTAAAAAAAGGTCAGCACTTTAACAAATCAACAAGAAGCAAAAAACAAGATTAGTAACTTTATAATTCATACCTGAGCTTCACCCGTGTGAACTTCGGGTCCGGCTTCGAGATCACCGGAGTGGATTTCAGGGTCAGCTGTTCTTCCTTTAACGGCTGATCCAGAGGCAAACCTTCGAAAGAGAGCCTGGTTACCGGCTGCATACAGCGCCGAATACGTTCTCGATGCTGTTGTTGCCAATCTAGATTGCATCTTTGCTTTTTGGGGTTGAGGGTCTCTGGTTTATGCGTGTGATGGAGTTGATGGAAATGAACAAGGTGGTCGAAGAAAAGAGAAGAATCTGTGAGGACGCGTGTAGTGTGAGACGAGGTGGCATCCATATATAACGCCTCGTGGTGGGGTTTTGTTTGTTTGCTCTTACGTGTATATGGTGCAGAGGCACCTAGAAGGCCGGAGAAGTTTGGTAGTGGATTTAGCTTTGAACTTCGAGGCTACTCTAGAATTTCCTTTTATAGTTGAAGCCCTGTTACCGCCCCTTCATATAACTAAATGAGACCATCTCTTTAGCCTTAAAACTGGCCTAAGCACCCCAGTAGATAAAGCCATCAAAAGAAAATCATTTTATTCTTCATTATGTTGAGAATTTAATCAATACATCAGTAAGCAAAAACCAGATGGTGAGTTAAGATATTTAAAACTAAGGGTCTGTCATTGTCAAGTAGGTTAGTCTCTCTCAAATATCACTCTCCTAAACCTAAAACACCACTGATCATAACACTGCCGTTATTACAACAAAATAAACCCACTTGGATCACATCTTCAGTTTATGTTTCCCAAGGTTGGAAAATACATCAGCCAGGAAGCCGAAGCAAAAGCCGATGAACCGCAACAGCCATAGCAGCATCAATAGCGCCACGTCCCAGAATTTCTTCTTTGGGTAGTGGCCTCTATCCGAGATCAGCACTGCCCTGTACACGGCTTCGGTTAACGCATAGGCCGAAACGGGATCCGATTCTTCTACCGCGAATCCATACTCATTGAGGCATAGTATGTCGTAAACTCCATTCGTCACCGATATCCGGAGACTTTCGCATATCTTCAGCCGGCCATCGATCCTCTCCTCTGTCGATAATAAGTCACCATGTGTTAAGATCAGGATAGGGTTTTCGTCTGCAGACATGGAGACATGATTATTCACAAAATTGCTTTGGTTTTTGCTTTCACAAAGAAGTATATGCATATATATGTACATGTATATATACGTATATACAGCTTAGGTGAAGGTGTAAATGTCAATTTTCTTTATAAGGACATATGCACACTGTGGAGAAACGTATAATTCAAGGATCTGAACCAGGAAACTTCTATTAAGGACAATTCCAATTTGCTTTTCACGCCATTAAAGACGGTATTGGGAGAGAAAACTTACTGCTTTTACGCAAGGCAGGGGAGCAGAAGAGCTGTCTGATGGCTTCTAATGGCTTAAAGTCTCCTGCTTTTAAAGCTTTGTAAATGTGTGCTATGTTAGCTACAACCATCACACAATTCACTCGTCTCTGCACAAATTGCGCTGATGATCTCGTGCCAATGTTCTCCGCATCGTCCACCATCGTCGTCCTGCAGTCATCATATCTAAAGCATGGTTGATTATGATGAATCCCTTCACTCATCCAACATGACAATTCATCCAAGGCCTCTCTCGTTCTATTGTAATCGAACCCTCTCGAATCATAAACGCAGAAGCCGCTTTGCATCGATCTTAGGACATTGTGTTCTTCCAGGTACATTGTTGTATAACCAGAAATTCCTACAATGAAAAGTTCAATTTAGATAAAATCAATTTTTTCTGCATCTGAAGTTACTAAATTATTCAATTGAAACTTACCTGATGATGTTCGAGCAAAGGGTATTAGGCCAGAGCGACCGAGAATGCTGTACATGAGATTTATAAGCGAGCTCTTGCCTGAACCCGAAAATCCGACCAAGAGAATTGTGTTCACCGGGGGAATGTCCATGTCTTCCTTGGTGATCCCTCCTGTGGGTACCCAGAAATCACCCGAACGATACCCGATAAGCTTGTGCCGAAGCTCGATTAGTCCATCGGGTGCAATCAAAGCCAGTCTCTCCAGTTCTCTAAGCAGTCTGAGCCTAGGCGTAAGGATGGAAACGTTGGGAAAGTCCAGAGTCAGCTTCACGCATTCATCGAATTTCGCAGCCGTTCTCCACCAACAATACGCCAACCTACACGACTCGCAGTCGTCTTCATCTACGACGCAAGATACTTGGCTTTTCATCACCCGTTCCTACGATGTTCGTCGACTCCAAGCAATTCGATGATGATGTTTGTGGCTTTACTTGTACTGTTGGGAATAAGTTTTAAGGTGATCAAGAGATGATGGCATTGCGCAAAACAGTGCTTCAAATCCCAATCCAAACATGTACAATCCTTTTCATGTGTCTGGATTCGTGGTCCGACTTCCAGGTTCCTTCCTAATGAAATGATGATACAGGTTTAGGAAAGTTCCAACCGTCGTCGGTCTGACGGAATTACCCTCGTCACAAACTGTTCATAATTGCTATTATATGGGTACTTTTGCCATTGTATTTGTAAAGTTCCTAGTATCATGTTTCTAATGAAATCATTTCTTTGCTTCTCAAGGACATTGTTTGGGGTAAATTTTACTAGATAATAATTACATGCTCACGTAATTATATATTTTTATAAATGTTTTTATTTTTTTTATAAATTGTAAATCTAACCATAATCTTATTTAGAGGGGAGAGAAACAAAAAACCCTAAAAAAAGTCTTTTTAATAAGTATAAAACTCATAACTTAAAATTTAAGAAATTAAAGATAAACAATTAGACCAATCAACCAAATGTGTTTTGATATCTTTTTTTATTATGTGTAATTATTGCTCTCACCACTCACAAATATGTCACACGTATATAAGCACACTCTAGTTTGACAACTACTGGAACACACTCTTGTTTGAAAAATAAATAAATATAAACACATAACTTTAAATAAACAAACATAAATGCAATTTCAAAACATAACAAATACCCATTCGTCTAAACTCAGTTCATTCATCCCCAAGCATTGGCTCGCACCATTCATTTCAAATGTACGAAATATAAAGTTAACTTTGCCACATGCAAGGCATGTTTTGCAATTGCAAAATAGCTTTTACATGGAAAGCATCTGCCCACCACCGCACTTTCCGCAAAATTGTTCTAATATGCAGGGAAAGGTGCTACTGGTAATGCAAAGAAAGTACAACAAATGGAAGGTCTCTTTGTACTAGGGAATCTAAGAAAGTCATTGTCGGGATACAATGGGAGATGCAGATCAAGTGCAATGCATTAAAAAAAACAAAAAATATGGTAATAAATTGAATTCTATATAGAAAAACCGTAAGTTTAACTCTGTAACTTGCAACTCCAAAACAACCTTCAGGTTTTCGACAATTTTTGACAATCATACATTATCGGGATAGATAATTTTTCCTCATTGAAACTGATCGGGAAGACCAGTCAAAATACTCCACAACTATCACAAAAAAGGGATCTTTCACATGTGCAGGAGCATATGGTGGGACTGATATACAAAGAGCCAAAAACAGAAGACGGAACATGGAGTTGCATGCCTCAACCTTTGCATCCTGGAATAAGGATGCTGAAAAAAGAATATATGTATGGCTATTGGACTCTTCAGACGTTGCTACCATGGTTTGTCATAGACCTTGTCTTTATTGGAACATAATTTAGCAATGTTTCGACTATATATGAAATCCAATAAACCAGAAGAAAATAATGACCATTGAGCTTCATTCTACTCCAACCACGCGTCCTGCAAATTCAAAAATAAGTCAGGACAGGCAATTAGGCCCGGAAGTAGCAAAAACCAAATTGCTTTACAAATAAGGGCCATGCCACATGTGATCAATTCCAGATGCAAAGCACAATATAACACAATCTAAGCTTGATATGATGAAAGCTCACTTTAACAAACCTTCCACAATAAGAACAGTGGGGACTCCGATCAGTCCAAAGTTTTTTTTAATTCACTCTCTAAAATAGTCCCCATGTAAAGTAAACGATAGAGAAGAGATACCAAGAGAGCAATTCAGGCCTAAACGCAATTGCCGGACTAGAGCAACCAATACTGCAATATAACAGTGAAATCAGACGTATAAATTCATACCTTCAATTGAAATTGAATCCACCAGAGGGAACAGGAAATTGATTGCCTCCAAACTGGAACCCAGATTGTGATGCATCACCAGGGGGTAAAGGCTCATCGTCTTCTTCCACCCAATAAGTTTCAAGAATCTTCACTGCCTTTTCATATATTTCATTGTTGTCGTGACTTTGGAGGTTTTCAATCTTTTCCAATCCCTCGGCATCATCAATTAACTGAGCATAGAGATTGGCATCTCCAGTGTGCCCCAGATTTTTCTCCGCTTCACCAACCTTCAAAAAATTCTCAAGTCCTTCTAAACAAACAGTGACAATTCTTGGGTCAGGGCAGTTCAGAAGATCACACAGTGGCTTAATGCAACCTTGGCTCACCAAAAACCTGAAGAACAAGACAGAGTTAATAATTTATAGGAAATGGTTCCAAGAAGAACCCAGAGAATGATAATGGCAAAGGGAGTGTACTTTATTTGTTCATGGGTTCCACCAGATGTAGCATTTGAAATTGCCCAGGCAGCTTCTTTCTTGATCTCAAACTCAGCATTTTGAAGTAGATGGACTAGAGGGCTAATAATCCCAGCCTCAATCACAGCCTGCAAAAGGTTTTCAAAATTCATGATCCAATAGATATCCATTCAAATGGGGGGGGGGGGGGAGCTACACACACACATAAAAAAAACCTTACTTTTCGAACTTATGCAGTAGACCATCACAGTCAATAGGCTTGTCATAGTATATAATTGCTTACCTGTATCTGATCTACATTTCCAGCAGTGATGTTTGAGATGGTCCAGCATGCTTCCTTCTTGATACTCTTTTTGTAGTTATGTGTCAGCAGGTTCAACAGGCATGGAAGGGCTTGGTGGCCAATAATGCACTGAATAGGGTAACAACATAAAGAATAAGAGTACTGAAGAAAGAACCAACCTAAAGCAGTGACATGATGAAGAAAAAACATTGTATTCGAAAGAAAAGCAGATGGAAAGCATGCCAAATGTCAATTGAAAACCATGAAGAGGTTTCAAGCTCTCAGACCAATACTCAAAAGTAATCTTCAGTAAAAAGGCCAAATTATCAAATAGGATGAACACGTGTGAAGACACAGCACCCAGATCAGAGTTGCAATGAATACAGCCACATTATAATGTTTGCAGTATTTATAAAAAAAAAAGTTAGATATAAGCATCTAGCACAACAGAGTAGAGACTGTCAAAATAATCCTAATAAAAATATCAGAACTGCACCCACAAGGTTTAGGCACAAAGAAGCAATAGGATAATTCAAAGTAATAAGATGTGTACAAGAACAAGGATAACTATTAACCATATCTCAAGGGAGTGCAATTCAGATAACTGTTAAGTAATACATATGCAATGAAATATCCAATACCTGAGTCTGTGTATCATCCCCTGTAACAATATTTCCAACTGTGCGAAGAGCAGGGATTAGGACTGTCGGGGACGGATGACTAACAACAAGTGAATGAGAAAATATCCAATACATCCAGAATTTAAATGCAATTAATAGAAGAAATAAACATAACAAAAACAAATACATCAATTTAAAAAAGGGAATGAAGGTCTTCACTTACAGCAAGAGCTCAACAAGTCGAGGGCAGACACCAGCCTCAATAACAGCTTGGATTTTGTCATTAGTACCATCTGAGAGATATGACAGGGCCCAGCATGCGTCTGTAAGGACTTCCTCATCATTTGAATGGATAAGACGCTCAAGAGTGGGCAAAGCAGGTTTTGTCTGCTTATTAAATTTCAAAAACCCAATTTATTAGAAAAAATTCATCACCAATAAAAGAAACATAACAACTCCAACAATTCATATTAAAAGAAAGTCCAACCTGCTCAAACGAAGGTTGTGGTGGCTTGCCCCTGCACAAGTTTGACAAACTCCAGGTAGCATTTCGCAGCATAGAGAGCTTTGCATGCTCATTAAATTGTGCCAACAAAGGCACCAAGGCCCCATGCCCAAGGACCAAGTCACGGCATTTAGGAGAATCTCCAGCAACATTTCCTAATGCCCAAACAGCCTGTAATTCCAAAAAGAATGGAAAAGCATAAGATAAGTGCAAATAAACCGTGTTAACAAATAGAAGATCACTTGCAAACTGCAGTTCTTACCTGTTCTCGTACATCATCGGCTGGAGAGCCTAGGAGTTTAACAAATATAGGAACAGCTCCATGATCAATTACAACTCTGGTATTTTCTGATGTCCCTGAAGCAATATTTGTAAGAGCCCAAGCTGCCTCAAACTACAAAAAAAATGAAACAAGAAAAAAGTTATAACAAAGAGGTTGAGCAAAATCCTAGTTACTTCAGAAACGAAATATCAGACCTGAAGCTGAGAGAAGTCCTCCCTAGCAAGGAACTCAACAAAGCGAGGAACAACACCTGATTGTACAACTTCGTTGATTGGAGGACAACGTTCTGCAGATAAAATAAGAGCATTCCTCAAATTTCCAACAAAAATGATAACAACAACCAAAACAAAAATTAACCTATTGATAGCAGCTTCCGGAATTGAGTGGTTGCCTCAAGCTGCGCATTCCTGTCATCCGACCAAACACCAGCAATCATAGCCGGAAGACTTTCTAACTGCAATTAGATATGTAAAATATTAAAATCAATTTTATTTCAATATTAAAAAAGTAAAAATACCGTATATTTACTTCTTGAGGTCAAGTACAATCAATAAATTAAACAAACACTTCACTCCGTTTGATTAATACAATTTCGGCTACCTAATAACATTTGTAACACTGCAAAAAGCACTACCGAATCCAAATAAAGCAACATCAATCAGCTCGGGAAATCATGCACAGCCTATCATTCACGATCCAAGGGATCAAATTGATTAATCAGTAGAATATACCTTTTTCTCAGAACTGGCGCCAGAAGAGAGCAGCTGCGGTTGTGTTTGTTGAGCGAGAAGTCCTTCGCGGCGCTTCTTTAGAAGATTCTCTTCTCTCTTGTTCTTCCGGATCTCCACCATGTTGTCTTCTCTCCTCCGCCGACCTTCCTCCGCATCAACCGCCACCTTGTACCTGTTCCGTCGAACCTCAGTCCTCGCGCTCGGTCTTAAAGACATCTTCGTGTTCTTTTTCAGTTAATCTGATTGAATCGCCGATTAATTTGCAGGTGAAATACGGGGAGGCTACGATTCTCTGCGATAGATTGTTCTGAGAAAATGACGGGGAAAGAGAGTGGTTCGATTATTGGATCGGGATACGTCGGGACTTCGGTCAGGCGAGATACTGTTGTTTTGTTTTATAGTGAGGTTTTCCCTCTTCTTTTATTGGGATTACTTTCTATGTCGAAATTATTTTGTTATTTTTTACGGAAATCGGACTTAAACGTAGTGGTAATAACGATGGTGCCACTGATTTGAATTTGAATTTTGGGGAACCCTAACGTTCATATGCCGTTATGGAATCCAGTTCACTGGGATTAGATTAATATTATGATTATCTAAGAGAATATTATAAGGCTTATTATTTGATAGAGTCCAGTGAAATTGAGTTAAATTTATGAGCAAGTTGAGTTGGTAAGTACGATTGTATTAATTAAAGTTTATTTAAAATTTTATCAAATTAAATGAAAAATATATTCAAGTTGTATGAATCAATTTAAACTAAAATGAATATTTAATTATAGTTAAATATAATAAAGTAGGTTGAAGAAATATTTCTTTAATTTAGAAATTCACTTAAAAATCATAAATTACTAATAGCACGGAATTATAGATGGGTATGGATCATGTTTTAGTTGTTTACATCTTAATTCGAGAATTACATACTTCAAGATGACATTTAACTCGATCTGACAAATCACAACATAATAAAATTTAACAATGAAAACAGAAATTGAATCCACCAGAGGGAACAGGAAGTTGATTGCCTCCGAACTGGAATCCAGATTGTGAAGCGTCGCCTGGGGGTAAAGGCTCATCATCTTCTTCCACCCAATATGTTTCAAGAATCTTCACTGCCTTCTCATATATTTCATAGTTGTCATGACTTTGGATGTTTTCAATCTTCTCCAACCCCTCAGCATCATCAATGAACTGAGCATAGAGATTGTTGTCTCCGGTGTGACCCAGATTATTTTCTGCTTCACCAACCTTCAAAATGTTCTCAAGACCCTCTAAACAAACGGTGACAATTCTTGGGTCGGGACAGTTCAGAAGATCACACAATGGTTTAATGCATCCTTGGCTCACCAAAAACCTAGTGAACAAGACAGTTAATAATTTATGGCAAATTGTTCTAACAAGAACCCAGAGAATGATAATGGCAAAGGGAAGATACTTTATTTGTTCATGGGTACCGCCAGATGTAGCATTTGAAATTGCCCAAGCAGCTTCTTTCTTTATATCAAACTCGGCATTTTGAAGTAGATGGACCAGAGGGGCAAAAATCCCAGACTCAATTACAGCCTGCAAAAGATTCTCAAATTTCAAGATCCAATGGATATACAATCATGTAGGACAAAATGCCACAATTGAAAACTAAACTTTCCAGTTTCTAACATATGCCGTGGACCATCAAAGTATAGGTTTGTCATACTATATAATTGGCTTACCTGTATCTGATCTACATTTCCCGCAGTGATGTTTGAGATGGTCCAGCAAGCTTCCTTCTTGATACTCCTCTTGTAGTTATTTGTTAGCAGGTTCAAGAGGAATGGAAGGGCTTGCTGACCAATAATGCACTGAATGGGGTAACAAGAAAAAGAGTCGGAGGACTAGAGAAAGAGGCAACCTAAAGCAGTGACATGAAAAAGAAAAAAAAAATCTATTTGAAAGAAAAGCAGATGACATTTTCAACTTATATAAACTAACCAAGAATAAAAATTTCACCTCAAACAAATTATGCATGAATGACATGATAAGATGCACAATTTTTGCACGGTCTACAATCTTTACATGACAAATCTTCTCATTCCTAGATTCTTATAGAAGGAAATATTTGAAGTACAATGTTATTCGTAGAAAATTGTCTATATGCATGTCAAGTGTGAAAACCACGTAAAAGGTTTCAAGTTTTCAAAACAATTCACAGTAGTACATCTTTATTAAAAATGTCAAGCTTTAAACTCTTCAGAAAGTCATTGAAAATCATATCTCGAGGGAACACTATTGGAATAACAATTGTGAAAGTAATAAATGTCAAGAATTCCATACCTGAGTCTGCGTATCATCCCCTGAAACAATATTTCCAACTGTGCGAAGAGCAGGAATGAGGACTGTTGGGGATGGATGACTAACAACACGAGGGGAATGAGAGAGAAATAAACATAAGAAAAACAAATACATCAATTTCGAAAACTTCCTCATCATTTGAATGGATAAGAAGCACAAGAGCAGGCAAAGCAGGTTTTGTCTGCTTATTAAATTTCAAAAGCCCAATTTATTAGCAAAAAATCATCACCAACAAAAGAAACATAACAACTCCAACAATTCATATTAAAAGAAAGTCTAACCTGCTCAAACGAAGGTTGTGGCTTTCCCCTGCACAAGTTTGACAAACTCCAGGTAGCATTTCGCAGCATAGAGAGCTTTGCATGCTCATTAAATTGTGCCAACAAAGGCACCAAGGACCAGGTCACGGCATTTAGGAGAATCTCCAGCAACATTTCCTAATGCCCAAACAGCCTGTAATTCCAAAAGAATGGAAAAGCATAAGAGAAGTGCAAATAAACCGTGTTAACGAATAGAAGATCACTTGCAAACTGCAGTTCTTACCTGTTCTCGTACATCATCGGCTGGAGATCCTACGAGTTTAACAAATATAGGAACAGCTCCATGATCAATTACAACTCTGGTATTTTCTGATGTCCCTGAAGCAATATTCGTGAGAGCCCAAGCTGCCTCAAGCTACGTAACTACTCAAATCCGAAACTTCTAAAAATAATAATACTCTATTTTACCATTTATGTCGCTTATTAAATTAAGCGTTTATTCTTACTAGTCATCGATTCAACACAATCTTTTCGATTACTCAGAAAAAATAAAGCTATTCTTTAATAAAATTTATCGACTTTGTGGTTATTTTAATTCCCCCAAAGTTTAGGACTTCACCCCATTTGCTGCCTCAAGCTACGTAACTACTCAAATCCGAAACTTCTAAAATAATAATACTCTATTTTACCATTTATGTCGCTTATTAAATTAAGCGTTTATTCTAGTCATCGATTCAACACAATCTTTTCGATTACTCAGAAAAAATAAAGCTATTCTTTAATAAAATTTATCGACTTTGTGGTTATTTTAATTCCCCCAAAGTTTAGGACTTCACCCCATTTATTAAGTATTAAATGTAATTTGGTTATTTCCACACGTATGAATACTTTGGTTATTTAGCACTTATAACTTCAGTCTAAAATTAGAATGTCATTTTAAAAATATTTATACAGATAATAATTTATAAAAGATCATCACATGCTTCCAAACAATTTAAACCCTCTCATCTAAATATTTAATACTATGGGTACTTTGATCCTTTATCGATGCCTATATTTTCAAGACATACAAAATTAAACTTAGAAGAATTATAGTCAATTTAGTACTTATGACTTCAAACTAGACATAAAAGTTTATTTTTGAAAGGTTGGATAATTTATTTTAGGTCTAAATAAACTATTTGAACCATATGTTATTGAAATTGTTTGAAAAATCAAGATCAAGATCTCAATTTTAAAATCAGAGGATCAATTTCAAAATTAATAGGATGGTTTCAAAACTCTTAGCTTAGTTTTATATTTTTAAATTTCAGCTTCAAAATAAGAAGTTTGATTTTAAAGTTGATATTCAAAACCGCAAAGATTGAGTTCGAAAATACCTTCAACAGACCCGGAACCTGGACATTAAGCCTTTAAACACTTCAAAACACGTGTATTCATGACTTTATACTAGTTTTAAACCTAAATTTACATCTTTGACAGTTAACAAATAGCGTAGCAAATGTTCGTAATTATATGTGTCATTCTCAAAGCTATGAAAATCAGGGACGAACTTAGAGGGGCGATAGTCCTCTTAAAATTTCTAAATAATTATATGTTTTTTTATATATTTATATCTTTTTATTGAGAATATGTTTTGACTCCTCTAAAATTTTATAAGTTCTTTTATCATAACATAAAATTATACGTCCGTCTTTCCTGAAAGTAACTAGTAATTTCATTGAAAGGTATAATTTTTTTAATGTTTTATGTTAAATTTCATTATAGTATATAAACGTGAGTCGTGTCCCATGTCCCGTGTCTCACGTTTAAAGGCGATTGCCTTACATCAGGGCAATCTGATATGATCATCAACTCATTAACTACACGAGATGCTCATCAACTCATTAAGCAGCCCTAAATATGATCATCACACTTTTGGCCTAAACACGCGTAATTAATTCAATGTAATTGATTAATTAATTAATTAATACAGAAAGTTAGCGGAGCAGAACATTTTCCGATAATCAGAGAGGAGACAGCCCCAAGGTTCTGAAGCACCAAACTCGAGGCTGCATCTTTAATTTTCAGATTTAACCATAATTTGTTTTGGTTTTTCCTTTTTGACGAATTTCAGGAAAGAGAATCATCCCGTACTAAAACCACGTCATAATTAAGCCAGAAAAAAGCAGAGAAAAATGCTTTAAAAACTGTTCTCATTATCATTTCACAGAGTAAGCTCGAGTTCCCCAAACCCTAACCCCACACATTTCCCATTTTCGTCTTGCTGTCTCGATGGAGAGCTACGGGTCGGGTTCAAGGCCGTACGGAGCGGATCGGCGGATGGAGATAGTTAGCGGAAAGAACACGAGTGTCGTTGCATCCAATCAGATACCGCCCGTTCCGGCTCGGACGAGTCAAGCGTCGACGAACTCGAAGCCGTGGGGTTTTACGGATCCCGAGATGAAGAGGAAGAAGAGGATAGCGAAGTACAAGGTCTACACTGTTGAAGGGAAAATGAAGGCTACTTTGGGGAAAGGTTTTCGTTGGATCAAGAACAAGTGCTCGCAGATCGTCCGTGGATATTAAAAAGCGGCGGAAGCTACGGCTCAGATTGTGTACACGTCGGATGGAGAGTGGGACCCGATGAAATCGACGGTTTAGACATTTTTGGGCTAAAAACAAAACAAAACAAAAACTTGGTAAGTAAGAAGATAGCACATTTATATAAATATTTTAGCCTTGTTTTTTTAGAATAAGATTGAATTTCTCTCTCTGAAAACTAGTGTTTTTCCTTTTACTTTTGCTCTTACTAAAACATTAGAGAATAGGGTTTGATTTATGGGTTGCTGTTAAATGTTGAATGACAATTTTTCTTTTTCAATGTGGAATATTATCATATTGTTGTAACTTCATTATATCTATTAATGGTACAGGAAAGTTGCATTTGCTTAAGAACATTAATATTAATGATATATGCTACAGATTGATGATTGACTTAAGCTTCAATGTATTTGTTTGAACAACATTGGCGTTAGTGCTATTGAGTGTATGGTTGATTTAAGTTTCAGATATTTTGGGCATTAGTGCTTCGATGAGAGGAGGAAGAAAAATGCACTGTATCATAGACTGAGTAGCTTGAGCAATTCATCCTTACAAATGTCCAAATCTCATCTTTAGTATAATTGGGCTTCCAACAGAGAAGAGTCTCCGGTGCTTGATTTCCTCAAGTGAAATGGTAGTGTGGAAGGTTAATATTAAGGGTAGGAAAGGGATCCGACAAGGAGATCCATAACCCATTGTCTCACAATTTGTTTGTTATTCCAATGAATGCACTTTCAGGATTGTTGGATTGAGGATGAAACTCATAATGTCATTCAATTTAATCCCTAAAGCTTACACATCTGTGATGGTTTTAGTCAAGAGAAGGGTAGATTTTATTGTTGGGGTGAAATGACAAGTTGTATGAGCACTCGGGGTTATTAATCATATTTGTATGAGGTTTTCATGGAAGATAAAGTGTGCATATGGTGCACGTGACAGGCCCAAACAGGAGGGAGGATTGGGGCTAATAGACTTGCTTAGTTGGAACACAACTTTTGGGCAATTTTGATCATTCTTTGTGGGTGGAGTGGATCAAATTAGATCCATAGTGCAGGTTTCATTATCTCAGGCCAACATTTGAAGCTCGTCAGTTTAACACGACCTGCTTTACAATTTTTTACCAGCTAGACGCTGGCCTGTGCAGGGAATGACAAAAGTTTGGAGGGAGCTTAGGCCAAGGGCGAAGAAAGTGCCATGGTATATAGGAATGTTAATGAGTCAGATTAACTCGGTTTTTGGCACACTCAAAATTTAAACTCATCCAATCGACCCCGCTTGATATCTAACTGTATTTTTTATGGTAAAATTCTTACATGATTCGATCTGACTCAAATATATATATTTATTAAGTAAAATAAAGACTTAATTGAAAAAAGTTAAGAGATTAGATTGAATTGGATCAAAATCCGTAGGGCTAAATGTATATATTGAATTGGATCAAATATATATATTTATTAAGTAAAATCAATACTTGTTTAGGTGGATCGAGTTTTTTACACTAAATCTGAAATCATTCTGATTTAAACTCAAATTTTCAACAACTACAACAACAAAAATTGACTTGATCATATTGAATTGGATCAAAATATGTAGGGTTTGAGTCAAATATTCATCCCTAATGGTGTAGGGTTGTTTGGTGTCCTATGTCCATACATAGACTTGGGTGGCTTGCTTGAACAGATTACCTACCAAGTGAAGCTTTTCGTTCAGTTTATTAAAAAAACCAATGCATTTCTGGCATTCATCTGTGTTGACATATTGACAAGCTGTAAACTAGGAAACCAACCCCACAGTCTGAAACATGTGGGGCACTCTGTAGTTTAACCAAAACACAGAAATGACCCCGCACCAAATCCACTCCATTTAGGTGGCTATCCTATACCCCTATTATATTCCCAACAAGCTGTTGGAACTTGGGAGCAACGACCGAAATTATAATATCTAAAAACAGTCGTTGGGTGAGGGTTTTTATCTTAAAGGGGTAAAACAATATTTAGTCCTTTAATTTAACAATGTTTTTAACTTAGTTCCTAAATTTTTTTGTCAACTTTTCCACTTGATCTGTTGATCATCAAGGTCTGCATTAGTTCTAAATTTTGTCTACTTTTCCTTATTTACTTCCTAAATTTAGATTTCTTCACGCTTTTTAGTTTTAATGGAGTCTAAGTTCAAGGACCAAATTAAAAATTATCAATTTTTGAGACTAACATGAATAAAAAAAATTGAATATCAATTTGAGAAAAAAATTGTCGAGTTTAAGAACTAATGTTGGCAAAGAAAAAATATCCAGGAATTAAATTATACAAGAGTTGCAAAATTCAGGGACCACATGTTTTATCCTATCTAGAGGTAACCAGGTTGCAGGGACAAAGATTGAAATTCAAAATTTTGGAGGTCAAAAACTCAAAATGTAATTAATCCATTACATTAATTTGTAAATCTAAAATTTTAAAAGGGATTATATAACAATTTTGGATACATCGTTCCAGAACTTAGTTTCTCAATTGTTGACGCTGTAGAACTATTCCCATATATAATTTGGTGTGAAAATCTTCATGGCTTTTCAAAGTAAATTAGAGGAAGTTTCTTACAGTTTGATCCCTAATTAAAGAATTAATCATATGATTAGCAGCACAGCTTCCCGGAACATTGAATTCAGACGTTTGAAATAAGTTAAAATCTGTGTTTATAATGAGTTGTTGGAGCTTGGGATTCTCCCATTTCTTTATTTGCACGTACCATTAAACAATACGGCAAGCGTTCCGCAAGTCTCAACGATGTTCGTTCTTTCCTTCAAATCATTAACCTAATTAAAATCTTTAAATAAATAACACAACAAAACGCGTGTCCCGGGGCCTACGCTTCAATCATTTGCCTTACATTTTTCTTCTTGTTTTCTTGTAGATATAATATAATATTTGTCCTACTATATGAAAAGATTAAGGTATATTTATCACTTCAACGTATTTCGATGGATTAAAAATATCAAATTATAAGAGAGAGGGACTAATCCGTCAAAAGTATATAATACAAGGACTTTTTTATAGAATTTTACCAAAACCATTTTTTTTCTTACTCTCCGCGTACCTAAATTAAATGGACCAACATAATTACATATAAATAGCCAATCTTCACTCACAATTCAGCAAAAAAGAAAACTTAGTACTTCAAGCTTTCTGCCAAGCAATTTCACAAAAAATAACAAAACAAACCCTATTATTTGCTGCAAATTATGAAGCTGAAGAAGAACGGCGGTGTTGGCCGGAGAGCTTGGGGACTGTTGCGTCTAGCATTGTTATGGGCAAGAAAAGGTGGGGTGTTCAAGCGGCGGCTCATGATGGAGCTGCGCTTGGTGCCCAAGTTCCTAAAGGGTCTCGGACATTCAACTATGGCGTCTCATGCTTGTGGCGACCGTCTCCATTACAAGGAACGCCAGTTTTCTTTGAACGAGACGCCGATTATCTTCGTCAAGACCGTGCACCGCTCCGCTTCGATGCGGTTTCTTCTCTCTTGCGTTAGTGCCGAGGCGGTAGACTTCGATCGATAAGATGATTTGGCCATGGATGAATATGATGATGGGATTTATAGGCGTGATAGTGGAAGCACCAAGAGTTGCTCGACATGTTCGAATATTGTGGAAGACGAAGGAGAAGAGGAAGAGTGGGGATATGAAGGTTGTGATGAGAAAAGTCCGTTTCCGGTAGAGGAAGAAGGGATCGATTCGAAGGCGGAGAAATTTATAGCAAAGTTCTTTGAGGAAATGAAGTTACAACGACAAACTTCTGATTTGGAATACAGTGAAATGCTTAGAAGAGGAGCCAGTTATTAATTACTCGAATCTCCGATTCCTTTTTTAACTTCCTGAGGATTTGAGTGTGTATATTTTTTTACTATTTGATAATCAAACGACTTTCATTTATATTTAAGTTATCAAAATTTAAACTTTATTAAAAAAACATTTAATATCTTATGTTATTAGACTAAAATAAATAAAAATGAATTTTTAATTATATTATTAGTAGGTTTACGTACCAAAAGCAGAAGGTTTGCAATAACCAATCTTATTCTTGCATATCTCATTGTCCGAAAGCCAAAGACAACCTTAAAATTATAAACAGATAGAAAATTGATCAAGATTCTAACACTCCAACATTAACACGGGTCAAGAGACGAAACATGTGACCCACCATCTTTCCATACACCGGCGAAGCAGGTTACTATATATCAGATACCCAAGTATTTTATTATCGTATAGGATCATATCACTATTAACAAGGTGTTTAATATGCTTAATTTTCATAGATACTTGTGTGTTATTGAATTTAATAAATTTAATATATTATACATATAATTAGACCGTGTTGAATTTAAATCAGGAAAACAATATCATTTTCGTAATAGAGTATAATTCTATATCACTCTAATAGAATGCGTATTATTCGTAATATATATATATATATATATATATATATATATATATATATATATATATATATATATATATATATATATATATAAACTAGTATATAATCTTTGGTGTATTTTTAATATATCTATTTTATTGAGGAGTTTTTATTTGTAAACAAATTTAAAATTCAATTATTTAGTTATTTACTATTTTTCAAATTTTATTTTGCTTTTCGAGATGTTAAAATATAATTATATCATATTAATGTATACTTATAAAATTTTTAAAAATAAAATGTATATAATTTTACTATTTTAAGAGGTTTTTTTTTTCTCAACGAAAAATAGGACGTTAAATAAGATGTAAGCAACATGGAAATAAGGCTATAATTAACGTTCACAGGAGGCTCAAGAAAGAGCGCGTGTGTTTAAGTGTTCATAAAATCTATGTAATTGGAAAACTGGGGCACCAATGCAACGAAATGTCGAATAAAATCATTGTTCTAACTAGATAAAAAGAGAAAAATAACATAAGCTCTTTACTAGTTACTGTTGCCGCTACACGCATATGTGCTCAACTCAAGTCATGGTCCAACAATTTACTGTTGAAAGATCCTCAAAAGCTTAAACATTAAACACTATGATAATCCCACCACCAGGAGCAAAACTAGTCCTCAAAAATGTCAACGAAACTTTACCATGCCGCTACAGCACTACACGGACATACGATGATCTAGGAAGATGCAAATGTTGATAGGATGTTATTCTTCAACATGAATTCATCAGCTTTTGTTAGGCTTCTTGACTGCATCAAGAACAAGCAAAAAGCTCATGGTTAAGAAGCTCTTATCATAGTTCCAGCATGAGTTTACATGAGCATAAAAAAGCGACAAAATAATTTTACCGTCAGTAATATAATTTCGTTTATGATTTACTGTCAAACATCATAGATACGGAAAAGATGACTCGGGGCACAATCCAATGTACTTCTATTACAATAGTAAGTTGTACTATTTGAAGATAAAGAAAAATCTTACCTTCTCAAGAATACGATGCAGCCGCTAAATTTCCTTCTTGGGATAATCAACACATTTCTCTAAATAGCTTTTACCAGCTTTCAAGTATATCTTTCCATACCTAACAACCAGAGAGATGAATAGTTACATATATAATAGTTTTCCTCAGATGCAGGAATCTCCAAATTGACAAGTTCTCCTTTACAGCCGAAATTTGAATATTGAGGAATTAAACGATCGAAAACCTCGCAGTTGAACCTGTGAGCTTCTCTACTTCCTCTTAAATCTTGGAGAAGATTGTTTTCTTCTCATCGTTACTACCAGACACAAACTCCTTCACTAATGCATCCAAACTTGTGAATAACAGTATTTTCCACTTCGTAAAGTTAAGATATGCACTTAGAGATTAAAAGATAATAAAGAGGGCACAAGAGTATAATTCTCCAATTTGGAGATTCTTCCACTATATAAAAGAATAGTATGATTACAAGGATGTGTTCACAAAATTTGACCCACATTTGGTAGCTCACTCAAGCTTGAGGATAAAAACTTCCCAAGCTATCTCTCTTCTCTCTCAAAGATGCTCTCTAATCCTCTAGTTTCTCACTCTAAGAAGTGGACTCTCTTAGTGTTCTTGGATGGTTATGAATGAAGTCTCTCTCCCCTATTTATACTACTCCACCTCCACAATGAATGGTAGAGATTACTTGCATCCAAGGGTGGAGGTTAATTATCTAGAATGCTCCACACACTTTAAGAAGCTCTACTATCTTCCACTCCCTTCCATAAGGTTCCACATATCTCCAAAGGATTTCACACTCTTCTGCAAGCTTCTAGAGAGTTCTACACTTCTCTAGAGTACTCTAAAATGTTCTAGAAAACTCTACACTTCTTCAGAAAGCTCTAGAATTTTCTAGAACCTCTCCAATTAAGGAGGTATCCAACAAATCTCACTCTCTCGACTTAATTTAGAGGTAGTAACAAGCTGAAACATTGACAGTAATCTTCGAACTTCTTTGTCGGTATTACCTTGGTTATCATGTTTGACCAATTTTCATATGAGTGAACCTTGTTAATATGTATTTATTTTTCTTCGAGAACTTCTCAGATCCAATGATATCCAGAGTCTATATGTGGGAATGAAATGTTGAATTCTTAGCCAGATAAATTGTACTTTGATTCGTACCTTTCTTGATCTACTCCCAGCTACAGTAAAAAATTCTTCATCCACAACATCTCCTTGCAAGCTTCAGTAACTGCGATGTACTCTGCCTCAGTAGTGGACAATGCAACACACTTTGATTGCCACGAGACAACCCTTGCAAAAGTAGTTAGGTATGCCGGTGATATTGATCCCGATGTTATTTTTCTTGAATTAATATCACCGACCAAGTCTACATTTGTGTATCCTTCCAACACAGGTTTTCCTTTCCCAAAGCATAAACATTTTTTGGAAGTTCCTCGTAGATATCGAAGAATCCATTTGGCTGCAACCCAATGTTCATTCCTTGGATTGGCCATGAAACGACTCACGACTCCAACTGCATATGTAACATCCTCAATACCGGGTTAGTGACCAAATTGTAAAGTCTCAGAATTTGGTGGTTAAAATAAAATGAATGAATAGTATAAAGATTTACTTGTAAATTATTGTGTAAGATGGAATTGAAAGGAAGAAGGAATGAAAGGACAATAGAGTAATTGCAAGGAAAAATAATTAAAGAAATGATAAGTATAGATATAAGGATACACGTGGGTGGAAGGGGAGAAAACACCCAAGGCTTCCAGAGTTCTATTCTTCTTCTTTCTTCCTTGTGCGTGTGAACCAAAACAAAGGTAAGATTTCTGATTATTGAGTTTCTTGTTAAATTTAAGATTGGTTTTTGATTATTAGATGATAACTAAGCTTAAGGAAAGCTTAAGTTATCATAACATCAAAGGATGATGGAGTTAGGAGAGATTTAAGATTTGAAGTTCTTAAATGAAATCTTGGAATAGAGTTCATAACTAGAATTGAAAGTTAAATTTGACTTACCATCAATCTAGTTAAGATATACGAAGTTTTAAAAGTAGAATTCAAACATGTTGAATTATTGATGTAATTCTTGAATTACATATGAAGGATAGGATTTGAAGGTTTAAGATGAAATAAATGAGTATAAATTGGTTCAAGGATGTATACTATAGTTAAGAATGAAAAAAAGGATTAAACATGAAGGATTTAATCTAGAATGAATGAATTTTCGGGTTCAAAAAGAGGATTCTGGGCAGAGTGCATCGATGCATATTCATAGTGCATCGATGCATATTCATAGTGCATCGATGCATCAAGGTTAAAACCCAGAAATTGTTTGAAGGCGTATCGATGCACAAGTAGTGCATCGATGCACTCTTTTAAATAAAAACATCGAATGCAATTAGTGCATCGATGCATAAGGCATGCATCGATGTATCCCATTAATGATAAAACATCGAATGCATTTTATGCACTGATGTACAAGTAGTGCATCGATGCATACCTTCATTAAAAGAGGAAATTGGCATTTATCTTAATCTAAAGAGTGAACCATTAGAGTATATTAGCTATAATATTGATATAGATCCATGTGTGATTATGTAGATACTAAAAGTAAGCTTATTCCGAAACGATCAAAAGATTAGAATCGAATCAAAGCAAAGCTAAGGTGAGTGCATAATATATATATAGTATAATGGAATAAGACTTGTGATAAGTCTAATTCATATATTGATTTTCATAATACAATGGTTATGAACATGCATACATGATAATTATTGTAATACATGCATAAGGCATATATATGTTCATGTGATTGGATAAATGATGTATATATATGAATAGATTCAAATACACATGTGATATGATATGTGATATGAGAACATGACATGAGCTACATGATCACAAGATAAATGACATGAGCTACATGATCACAAGAGAAATGACATGAACTACATGATCACACAAGAGAAATGACATAAGTACATAAACATATGAAATATAAGAATAAGGCTCATAGTATACGATATGAGAGCTATAGGTGTAATTGGCATGCCAAGAGTTGATGGTATAATAGTCTTTCGGGACGTAGTCCTTCGGGATGTAGTGGTCCTACGGGACATATATGACAGTCCTTCGGGACGAATACTGAACTAAGGTTCGGTACCTCATGAGGGAATTGATACGAGCTGTGGTGACAACATTAGTGCACAACCTCAATGTACTCAAATACCTCTATTCTCAATAATATACATGGGCAATTGAAATACAAAGTAAAGTGAAAGTGGTACAAAAAAGTAAGTTTTGTACATGCATGATATGATTATATATGTTATTGTGTAATAAATACATGCATATTAAAATGTCATGAAAGAAATGGTAAGAATGCATATTCATGAAGATATTGTTGCATATTCATTTATTGCCTCGCTAAGTCTATGACTTAACGTGTAAGTGATTTACACGTAGGTACCAAAAAATAAGAAGATTCAGAATAGAAGTGGCACGGACAACAACATTACTAAGAAATCAGATCAGAATAGAAATGTCATGAAAGAAATGGTACGAATGCTCTGATCGATTTTGTATTAAGTGGTCTTTTTTATGTAAATTAAATTATTTTGTTTTAATGAAAGTTTTAAATTCCCGGGATTTTACTTTAAGAATCAAAGTTTGAAAAGCCAATGTGACATCTTGGGCTTGTATTCGGGTCGAATTTGAGTTAGGGTGTTACAGCATAGGCGATATCTGGTCTTCTATATATCATTGCATACATGAGACTGTCTACTACAGATGAGTATGTAATTTTCTTTATTTCCTCCATTTCGTTCTCACTTGTGGGACACTGCTTCGAACTCAGCTTGAAGTGTCCAACAAGTGGTGTGTTAACCGTCTTTGATTTGTGCATGTTAAATCTTACCAACACCTTCTCAATGTATCTCTCTTGGGATAACCATAACAGTCACGTAGTCCTTCGGGATGTAGTGGTCCTACGGGACATATATGACAGTCCTTCGGGACGAATACTAAACTAAGGTTCGGTGCTCCATGAGGGAATTGATACGAGCTGTGGTGACAGTATTAGTGCACAACCTCAATGTACTCACATACCTCTATTCTCAATAATATACATGGGCAATTGAAATACAAAGTAAAGTGAAGGTGATACAAGAAGGTAAGTTTTGTACATGCATGATATGATTATATATGTTATTGTGTAATAGATACATGCATATTGAAATGTCATGAAGGAAATGGTAAGAATGCATATTCATAAAGATATTGTTGCATATTCATTTATTGCCTCACTAAGTCTATGACTTAGCGTGTAAGTGATTTACACGTAGGTACCAAGAAATAAGAAGATTCAGAATAGAAGTGGCACGGACATCAACATTAATAAGAAATCAGATCAGAAGTAATTGACAAAGTAGATATTTTGTTGTGTATAAAGTGTTGGTATGTAATAAGTGGTTAATTACGAATGCTCTGATCAATTTTGTATTAAGTGGTCTCTTTTATGTAAATTAAAGTATTTTGTTTTAATGAAAGTTTTAAATTCCCGAGATTTTACTTTAAGAATTAAAGTTTGAAAAGTCAATATGACATCTCGGACTTGTATTCGAGTCGAATATAAGTTAGGGGTATTACAGCATAGGCGATATCTGGTATTCTGCATATCATTGCATACATGAGACTGTCTACTACAGATGAGTATGTAATTTTCTTTATTTCCTCCATTTCGTTCTCACTTGTGGGACACTGCTTCGAACTCAGCTTGAAGTGTCCAACAAATAGTGTGTTAACCGACTTTGATTTGTGCATTTTGAATCTTACCAACACCTTCTCAATGTATCTCTCTTGGGATAGCCATAACAGTCACGTAGTCCTTCGGATGTAGTGGTCCTACGGGACATATATGACAGTCTTTCGGGACGAATACTGAACTAAGGTTCGGTGCCCCATGAGGGAATTGATACGAGCTGTGGTGACAGTATTAGTGCACAACCTCAATGTACTCACATACCTCTATTCTCAATAATATTCATGGGCAATTGAAATACAAAGTAAAGTGAAAGTGGTACAAGAAGGTAAGTTTTGTACATGCATGATATGATTATATATGTTATTGTGTAATAGATACATGCATATTGAAATGTCATGAAGGAAATGGTAAGAATGCATATTCATGAAGATATTGTTGCATATTCATTTATTGCCTCACTAAGTCTATGACTTAGCGTGTAAGTGATTTACACGTAGGTACCAAGAAATAAGAAGATTCAGAATAGAAGTGGCACGGACATCAACATTACTAAGAAATTAGATCAGAAGTAATTGACAAAGTATGTATTTTGTTGTGTATAAAGTGTTGGTATGTAATAAGTGGTTAATTACGA